TTCTCTCTGTCTCTCTCTCTCACTGTTCACTCTGCCTGTCAAAAAAAAAAAAAAAAAAAGAGGAGCAAAATTTATGATTGTGACTTGAGTATGAATTCTGACAAAAGTATGCTCTGTATTTTGAGTTTCAGGTGTCATAGCTGTGATGTTTATAATAATACTGTTTTATATTGTTTTTTTAAAAAAGACTTATTTATTTATTTGAAAGGATTAAAATGATTTTTACAATGTATGCCAATGCTTATGCATATTTTGACACATCTCTATTTTTACTGTTGCAAGTTTACATCTGTTCTAAAAAACAGAAAGTTGTTGAAATCATTCTAGGAAGGCCATAGGCATTTCTCTTTTTATTTTTTATAATTAAAACAATTTTTATTATGAGCTATTTCCTAAATTCATGAGATTCTAAGATGGCTGGTTTTTGTTTGTTTTATTTTTCATTTTCCAAATTTTAGTGTAAGTGCTAAAGTTCAACTTTGGATTGATTTATTAAATATTCATACAATTTTTCATTTTGGTTCTTGATGGCCTTTCTGACACATGGGTGGGGACAAGTGAGACACTGACACCACTGGAAACTTTCTGTGTGGGAATATCAGTGTCATGTGATCATCTGCACCTTCACACAAGGTCTCTGTGAGGGACGGTCTCACACATCAGGACCCGCCTGGTCTCACAGCAGAGGGGAAGCCAGCAGAGCCGGGACGTGCTCGCCTGCTCCTGACCAAGCCTGTGCTCCAGCTGGGTCATCCCAAGGTACAGACACAGACAGCAGCTACTGTGGGTGTGTGAGTCCATCTCCATGTCGCCTCTCACCCTGTTGATGGCAGAGGAATAGAGTAGCACTTGGTCCGGGAGAGATGCGTAGAAAGATGTGAGAGTTTTGAATTGTTTCAAGAATGAATTTAAACTATGATCCATGTTGATACCTAAGTTACCTTTATTCTTGAGGAGAATGCAGAAATGGATCAGAACGAGAATATGCCTAAGGTGTTTAACAGGGAGACTATGATTTTTTCTTAAATTCTCAGGTGTTTTGATTACTATTTATTTATTTTCCTGGTATTATATTATGTTCTTTTGTTTCTCATTACAATGCATGTCACTTAACTATCTAGGAATGAATTAAGCCAGGCTTGAATTCCCTTGTTCTGAAGTCACCTATAATAGAAAAATTTGAATGATTTATTAATTTTTGTATTTTTCTATTAAAAAATTTAGCTTAGTATTCACCAATTTGCTCCCTTTTTATTTATGTAAACAGATGTATCAAAAATAATTAAACAAAGAATCTTCGGAAATACATGACCTTGAATTGAGTTTTACCTTATAATTTGTCATTGTGTTAGAGAAGAATTTATTGAACAATGAATAGTATATTTGTACACTTTGTCCTTATTTGATGATTGTTTAAATCCAGTTTCCTCAAATTATGAAGCAATTAACTGGTGAAATATCAAGATATTTTAAGAACATAAGATTTAAATCTGTCTACAAGAACAGTATATGGATTCTGTCTTACTGACCAAAAATATTGTTGAGAAAAATGCACTGTCCTCTTAAATCTCTGAGTAGCTCAGATTTCCTCCATAGTTCATTTTATATTATTCCTCTAGGAATACCCCTAAATATTTCGAAATTACTTGTGCTTTGTCCATGAGATATATTTAACAATTTCTGTTCATTTGTTTAAAACATTTCATTTTAATTTTTCTTCTTTTTTAAGATTTTATTTACTTGAAAGTCAGAGTTACAGAGAGAGAGAGAGAGAGAGAGAGAGAGAAGTCTTCCATCCGCTGGTTCGCTCCCCAAGTAGCTGCAATAGCCACAGCTGGGCCGATCCGCAGCCAGGATCCAGGAATTTCCTCCAGGTCTCCCACACAGGTGCAGGGGCCCAAGGACTTGGGCCATCTTCTGCTGCTTTCCCAGGCCAGAGCAGAGAGCTGAATTGGAAGTGGAGCAGCTGGGACTTGAACTGGTGCCCATGTGGAATGCCGGCACTGCAGGAGGCGGCTTTTCCCACTACACCACAGTGCTGGCTGCTAAAACATTTTAATATATTAGAAATTAATGTACATTCACAAGATAGTATTCAGTACATGAACATATGCCATTTATTCCACAATCTTTGCTGAACACTGAGTATGTGCAATACACCAAGCTAAGAAATGGAGAAGGGTTGAGGAGAAACAGCCCTTCTTTTATGGAGACTATTTGAAAAGACTCATGTTGAAGAAAATAAAAGAAGTAATCAATGTCTATTTTAGAAAATGTTACAGGGGCCAGTGCTGTGGCACAGCGGGTTAAAGCCCCAGTCTGCAGCATTGGCATCCCATATGGGCACCAGTTCAAGTCCCGGCTGCTCCACTTCCAATCCAGCTCTCTACTGTGGCCTGAGCAAGCAGTAGAAGATGGCCCAAGTCCTTGTGCCCTTGCACCCGCTTGGGAGACCTGGAGGAAGCTCCTGGCTCCTGGCTTTGGATTGGCTCAGCTCTGGCCGTTGCATTCATTTGAGGAGTGAACTAGTGGATGGAAGACCTCTCTCTCGCTCTCTCTGGCTCTACCTCTCTCTGTAATTCTGTCTTTCAAATAAATAAATCTTAGAAAAAAGAAAGAGAAAATGTTACAGAAATAAAATATAAGAAAAAATATAAAATTCTTCTATAATTTATAATTTGGGTATGGCTATTTCTCATACCAATTACTTTTTATGATTCTTTTGACTTTCTTCTTTTTTTGTTTCAACATAAACAATATCCATATTGTACCAAACTTGTATTGCATAGTTTTATATTCTGTATATTCCCCTTTAAGCAAGATTATTTCCCCATAGTAAATAGGATTAAAATGCTAATTTTATGAGATACATAGTACTTGTTTTTCATTCCAGGAGCACAACAATAACACAAATCTAGTGAGGTGAAAATGATTATTTTTTCTAGCTCTGTTAATGAAATGATCTTTCCCAATAGCTCCTGATTTAATAACTAAGGACAGTACTTAAGTAAGAAATGTTATGTGTTAGGCAATATTATTTACATAATAATTTAAAGGATCAGAAAACACATCCACAAATGTTTTAGTAGGGTATGATATGTTCTTTGCTCTGAAAATCAATGCTAGTCATCACCACTTATATATATATATCTTGATTTTGCTTCATTTTATGCTAGCTTATAATTCCAGACTTGAAAGTTATTCTTCAGATAGTTTAGTCTAACCCATCACAGGAGGAGATTAGAGAATTTACTTTCTTAAGCCATACCATTGATTTGTGGCATACAAAAAATTAGAACGCTGTCTTCTAGATTCATATCTTCATAACTCTGTCTTACAGATTTATTTTATGAGAGGTTGATATCAAAAGTTTATGAGGTTTAGAATGTTCACCTTCCTTAAACAGTCTGTCTTACAGCCACCTTAGATTTCAGGGAAGATTTCTCAGCACATTCTTAAATACACAATCATGTCTTGCAAGAGAGAAAAATATTTCTTATGATTAGAAAAAGTTATATTTCTGTTAGAAAAAGGTATATTTCTGATTCAGAATCTTTTTTTCTTATTTTTTCTTATCCTTTTCTGGGGCAGAGAAGTTGCTTCATACCTTTGTAGAAATATTATTTATATATACTATTATATATTATATATCATGTATTATATAATTATATAATATTATTATATATTTTTCAAATGTAAGTGAAGAATTACATTTTTGGACTTGTATACATCTGGAATTGAGCCAAAGACTATTGTTGACTGAAATCCATGATTTCTTCATTTTTATTAACTCCAGGATCAGATTCATGAAGTTCAGTGACTATCAGGATGATGAGATGAGATAAAAGTGATGAGGGTGATACAAGACAACTTGGAAGCTTGTGTCCTTGCTAAATGAGCTGTGTCTGTTCACTGTCATATTATCATGGTCCATTGAACCTAAGGCAGGCATTAAGTGATCAAATATAATCTCTCAAGAAAAGATATAAATCTGGATATTTGTCCATGAATTATGTCAACTTCTGCATTTTGACAACTAATTAAGTGACATTAACAGTCTAAAAGTTTAATATCATATGTCCACAAGCTGTCATGGTTCATTACATAACTGAATAGGTCTCTTTTCTAAGACGTCACGAAAAGGGATTCAAATCACTTTTTCCTGGACTGGCATAATTGTGCACTGTGTTAAGCTGGTCCCTGCTACATCAGTTCCCATATCAGAGCACTGCTTGGTGTCCAGGCTGCCCCACTTCTTATCCAGTTCCCTGCTAATGTGCCTGGGAAGGAGCAGAAGGTGACCTAGGTGCTTGGGCCCCTGCTACCTATGTGGGAGACACAGATGGAGTTCCTGGCTTTGACCTGGCCCAGCCCTGACTGTTGTGGCCATTTGGGAAGTGAACCAGCTGTTGAAAGATCTTTTTCTCTGTCTCCCCCTCATTCTCTGTAACTCTCTTCTTTCAAATAAATAAAATGGATTTTTTAAAGTGAATTAGATGGCCTTATTCCAATAAAACTTTATTTACAAAAATAGGCAATGGGATAGGTTTGGTCTACCTGTGGTAGTTTGCAGATTTCTTATTTAGAAACTAATATGATCACCTCATTACCATTTGCAGTTTCACTGACTTTTAAAAATAGTACTCATAGTCTTCTATTTGTTTTGATTAATACTACTTTCATGTGGCTTGTAATAATTTTTATTGGTATTTTACCTGAGACTTATTAAATAAATCACTATAACCAATAACTTAGTTATTATTAGTAGGATCTTTTTTAGTAGAAGGCGAAAGATTTATACGATCTGAAGAGAAATCAGGATTTTTTTTTTAAATCACTTTTTCTGGTGTTTCCAGTGAGATGGTGGTTTTCGTTCATTTCTACAGGCCACAGTATGCATCACTCACTTAGCTCTCTCCATCATTTATAAAACACACCTTCCATTTTAACTGAAACAACAATGTCTTGTGGAACTGCTCTGATTCTTGCTGTGTTTTTAGCCTGGAACTCTCAGAAATGAGTGAGGAGAGAGTGACACGCCTAGAGTTGCAATCGCCTCATGCAAAGAAAAAGAAAAGCAAAAGGCATCCAGCTCCCAAAAAGAGAGGTAAGGTTTTCTTCTCTTTGTTTTCCTGATTTCTGAAAACATGATGTCAAGTAGTAACAAAATAAGAATTTAAAAAATGAAAAGTAAAATCATGAATAGTTTATGCTAAATATCTGGTTCCTTATTTCATTTTATATACTGGGAGATCTACTTAAGTGTGATATCACTGGAATTTATGAATAGGGTAAATAGTGATTTTAATTTAAACTCCAGCATAAATATCTGTTCTTATCTGTTTGCCATGCTCATTATATATCCTTCTTTTTGATTTTGTACAGAAATCCCTTGTACAGTAATCCTGGGACTAATATGTCTTTTGCTCCTGCTGGTAATCACAGTCTTAAGATACATGAGTGAGTATGAGGTGTCTATTTTCTACAAAACAATCAACTTTAAATGAGCTCAGTTGAAAGGAGAAGATTTTTTTTCTTTTTTCTTTTTTTAAAGATTTTATTTATTTATTTGAACGTTAGAGTTACAGACAGTGAGAAAGCGTCCACTGGTTCACTCCCCAAATGGCCGCAACGGCTGGAGCTGTGCCGATCCAAAGCTAGGAGCCAGGAGCTTCTTCCGGGTCTCCCATGAGGGTGCAGGGGCCCAGAGACTTGGGCCATGTTCTACTGCCTTCCCAGAGAGCTGGATGGGAAGAGGAACAGCTAGGACTAGAACCGTGCCCACATGGGATGCTGGTGCCGCAGACAGAGGATTAACCTACTGCGCCACAGCGCCGGCCCCGAAGATTTTTTCAATTGATCAATTTTTAAAATGAAATATCACTACTGCTGTGATAACAGAATGAAGAGATTAGATGAGTATAACGTGTGCAGGTCAAGGATACCTCCGTGTTGGAGAGAATTGCTGTGAAGTAAAAGGCAGGTAGAAATTGAAAGGTGAAGGGTAAAGAACAGTCATCCGGGCTGGCGCCGCGGCTCACTAGGCTAATCCTCCGCCTCGCGGCGCCGGCACACCGGGTTCTAGTCCCGGTCAGGGCACCGGATTCTGTCCTGGTTGCCCCTCTTCCAGTCCAGCTCTCTGCTGTGGCCAGGGAGTGCAGTGGAGGATGGCCCAAGTGCTTGGGTCCTGCACCCCATGGGAGACCAGGAGAAGCACCTGGCTCCTGCATTTGGATCAGCGCGGTGCACCGGCTGCAGTGCGCCAGCCGCGGCGGCAATTGAAGGGTGAACCAACGGCAAAGGAAGACCTTTCTGTCTGTCTCTCTCTCTCACTGTCCACTCTGCCTGTCATAAAATTAAAAAAAAAAAAAAAGAACAGTCATCCAGGTGGAGTGAACAACATGGAAAAAAGGAGACATATATGTGTTAGGAGAATTACAAATAGCTCTAGTTAAGTGGATGAAATGGCTGAAAATGAGTGTGGAAAGGTATACAACCTAACGAAGGTGTTTAAGCTTGTTTAAAGAATATTTTTATGTATTTAAATGGAGAGAGAAAGAGAGATCTATTCACTTATTCACTCCCCAAATGGCCAAAACATCCAGAGTTGGGCCAGCCTGAAGCCAGGAACTTCATCCAAATCTCCCATGTGGGTGGTAAGGGCTCAAGCACTTGGGTCACGTTCTGCTGCTTTCCCAGGCAGGTTTGCAGGGAGGTGGCTGGGGAGTGGAGCAGCCAGGACTCAAAGTGGTGCCTATAAGGGAAGGTGGCCTCAGAGACAGAGGCTTAACCCGCTAAGCCACTACACTGACCTAAAGTTAATGGATTTTGAAAAACACAATCTGAGTAGACTGAATAGTAGTGAGTGGGAAATATGTGAGGAAATTGTTTCAGAAAGTATGGTTGCTGACAACTGCTGTCCAAATTACCAACATGAGAAATAATGAAAGTTGGGAGACATACTTGAGAAATATTTAATATATAGATTTGCATGAATATCTGATATTACACACTCTGGTGAGAATTCTATTTAATTTCGAAGAACAAACATGAAGAACAATATGATTTGTTTGTTTATTTTTGCATTAGTAATAGTGAATATGGAGGTAGTTCTGGCTTATTAGCAGAGATGCTCAGAAATATTGGATGGGAGGTTCGGCTCCATGGCTCACTTGGTTAATCCTCCGCCTGCAGCGCCGGCATCCCATATGGACTCCAGGTTCTGGTCCCGGTTGCTCCTCTTACAGTCCGACTCCCTGCTGTGGCCCGGGAGAGTAGTGGAGGATGGCCCAAGTGTTTGGGTGTCTGCACCCGCATGGGAGACCAGAAGGAGGCACCCGGCTCCTGTCAATGGATCAGCACAACGCGCCGGCCATAGCAACCATTTGGGGAGTGAACCAATGGAAGGAGGACCTTTCTCTCTGTCTCTCTCTCTTTCACTGTCTATAACTCTACCTGTCAAATAAATTTTAAAAAAATTAAAAAAAGAAGTATTGGATGGGTCTGTTATTCCAGATGAGCTTTTAGTAATAGACATGGATCATCAGCATATATGTTGGTGAGATTAAATGTCTGGGGAACAAGAGAGTTGCCTAGATTAGACATATGTGGTACGGATTCATCAGTTGATATCATAGGCTTTTGAAAACATGGTGGAGGAAGCAGAACTGGGCCAGAAACACAATCCGCTCATGTGGGTGTCAGTGACCCATTCACACTGAGCCATCACCACTGCCTCCCAGCATCTCCATGAACAGGAAGCTGGAATCAGGAACTGGAACGAGGATGCAAACCTAGGTGCCTGATATGGAAAACAGGCATTCTAAAAAAATAGAACAATATGCTTTTTATTTTACATTTTTATTCTCAACTTAATGGAAGAAACTGCTGTTTCTCTCATAGACTTTTAACTTTCCTTTTGCACATTAGAAATAGCTATATGAACTCATATGCCGTGCATATTTTATGCATTCATTATACATACAGGCAAATCCCTTATGTCAAAGTGTAAATGCTAAATGGAGTCACATGCTGAGAAATCATTATTTAAAGATGGCATAAAATCTAGTTCGTTTTCAATTTCCTTTGTTTTCTATTTTATGAAATGTTCATGACTTTTTATGTGTCTTAGAAATAATAGATTTCAAGTTACATATAATTGAAGTTTTATATAAAAATCTATTTTATGGCCTGACACAAAAATATTTTAACGTTACATTTTCTATGATTACAATCCCAAGTAATCATCATCATATTCTTTCATATCTAGAATTACAGGATATGATCATAATTAAGTGATATTTTAAGTCATTTATGTTGTTAATTTTGTAATGTGGATTGAAGTTTTTCAGAAGTGTCCTAAATGCACAACACAGGATATGGAAAACACAAAAGAAAAAAATACTTCCTCAGTACAGCTGGAAGACCATTCAGTGGTGCCATCAGGTAGAGGTTTGTACTCAATGTTTAAGTTAATAGCCAATAGATTATTTTTCATAGACTTACTGCCTTCTGCCCATTTCAATATATAAACTTTAAAAAGTTTATATTGGATCTGATGAGGAGTTTTAATTTTACTCTCCTCATTAAATCCACTTTTAAAATTATAGTTGACTAAACATTTGAATTTCAAAAGATGTTTGGGTACAGAAAAACACTTATTTTATGCTAATTCCTTCTGAAGAAAAAACTTAAATACCTAAAATCTTATTTTCTAAATGGCCTGGTGTCTCGGATGGGGGTGACTTTTGTTTTGAAGAACAAGCCTGCAGCTTCTTGCAAGGAAGACACTTTTGCTGTGGAAGAAACTGCTACTATTTTTCTAAAAAAGAAGAAACATGGGAGGAGAGCAGGAATTTATGCCGGAACATGGATTCTAGCCTTGTGAAGATTGATGACATCCAGGAACTGGTATGTTCACTTAATTAACCTTTATGAGAAGCTTGCAAAGACTGAGTTAGGCTACCTGTGTTGGCTTTCCTTGAGTCTTATTTGACTGCAGGGTGGAAACACTTGTATTTGCAGAGGGGAAGACATGCTTTAAGGACCTAAATAATTTCACTTTCTAAAGCAGCAGAGGTGGCCTGTTGTGTGTGCCATGGAATTATATTGAGTCCTTACTACTTATGTTTTCATGATTTGTGAATGATTAAAAAAAAAACCTAAATGAGTGAATTAGTTGGCACTTAATTTTAGTGATTCTTCAGAGCCCTAGAATAATAAAGTATATTTTAAACCTTCTTCTACAATATCTCTATGTATTTCATAGGTGTCAAAAGAGAAACCATTAAAATTTTCTTTTTTATAGAACTTAACTAAAGTGGAAAAATGATGGAGTGTGTATCTGGGACAGAGAACAGGAAAGAAAAGTGAAACGGAGAGAGTAAATTGCATTTAGAAATAAAATCAATATTTTGCTTAACTTTTGAGTACCCAAGGAAACAATTACAATGAATAAAATATACTGAAATAATTACAAAAATATATACTACTGTTAGGTTTACAGTGTGTCAGATCTTTGTATGCATTATTTCAGTACATAAAAACTTCCACATAGGTAATGTCATTCCCATATTTTAGACAAGGAAGAAACTCAAGGAGTTTAGTTTGTTTGCCTTTGCTCACATAATAAGTTAATTGCATAATCTGCTTTAAAATTTGTGGCTAGAGTTCTGATTTCCATAGCTGTATGATATTCGTGGTATCACATGGAGAGACTTTACTTAGTCATTCTCTAGGTGATGGGAATTTGGGTTGTTTCCACTGCTGTTGTGATGAGCAGCTCTTCATTAACCATCCTTAGACACGTCAGCTGTGCACGCCTTTCATGTGTCTCCTCTGCAGTTCATCACAAACCTGTATGAGTGCAATTATTGGGTGTTTCCAGTTTTACAAAATAATTTCATAATATTTTTCAATTTGCTTTTTCTGCTAGTATGAAGATATTCTATTGTTTCCTACCATCCTAAAATCTTGTGTTTGCTCTCTGTAAAGCATTTCCTTGTAGCTTTGTTTGCCTTTACTTGATCTCTACTGAACTTGATATCCTTTATTGTTCGTGTATGTTTTCTATGAAACATCTATTCTTGATTTTTCTTCATTTTTTTT